CCATAGTAAACTTGTTTGTGTTTTAGATGGTATGCTTTTCTTGTTAATGTGATGGTTAATTTGTAATGTCCCTGTAGGGGGACAACAGGGCTTCTCAGAGGAGGTGATGCTCAGTAAGCATTACAGGGTGAGTAGGAAGGCATGGAGAAAGCATTTGGGCTGAGAGCACCCCTCACCCTCACCATGAAGTCCTTTGGGCTCTTCCATGTGGCTGAAATTAAGGGATGTGAAGTAAGTGAGGCTTGGTGAAGCCCAAGAGCTAAGCAGTGACCAGATCTTGAGCGATCTTGTGTTTTCACCTCAGAGTTGAGAATTTCATCTGGAAAGCTAGGAGCCTCGGTGATGGTTTTCAGAAGGGAAGGGACAAGATGAGTTTTGCTTTGTAGGGAGAAAGAGCCTACGAGAGTGTGGAAGTGCTGGTGGACATTCCTCAGAGAGGAAGTGTTAAAGGAAAGGACAGTTTTTAATGAGGTGGGATCCACAGAAACTGGTGACTTTCTGAGTGTCAGTAGGAGAGACATAGGAAGTAATGTTAAAAATGATTTTGCTTCAGTTTTCCTGGGTCATTGCAGGGAACCCATACTGATGTATTTGAACCACAGAATCATTGCCCCTAATTTTATTGTGTCTATTTTCATATAATTTTTTACTTAAAGCAAGATGCATTTGCATATATACCCTTTACCCACTGTGTATTATCACATACCTATTATAAATATTTGTCTATATAAGATGTAAATATGTTACATATATAATTCATCATATAATAAATATATAATAGTCAAGAGATACATATATTACTTTAAATACATTAAATATAATAGATGTAGAGATAGTTAAATCTATTTAATATGGAGATAAATGTATAACGTTTGTAGTTTTTAATTACAAGTTTCTCAGGCTGGCCGTAGTGGATTTGATAGGCATCACTCTAGTGTGAATATCTTTTCTTTCAAGAATACTTGGAAGAAATGCTGATACCTAAGAAGTAGCTCATACCAAATACTAAAATCCATGGTATTGATTTCACTTTTTTTCCCTGAGCTTTTTCTCATTATGTGCATAAAAGAAAATAAGATATTGAGTGATCTCTGTGGACCCATCTGCTCATACATACAGAGATGTCACAATGATAGTTTTAAAAACATGTGGTTCCTGGACACAGGAAGGGGAGCAACACACACTGGGGCCTATCAGGTGGTGGGGTTGAGGGAGGGAGAGCATCAGGATAAATAGCTAATACATGCTGGACTTAATACCTAGGTGATGGGTTGATAGGTGCAGCAAACCACCATGGCACATGTTTACCTATGTAACAAACCTGCACATCCTGCATATGTACCCTGGAACTTAAAATTAATTTTAAAAAGAAACAGAAAAAAACATGTAGTTCCTTTGCTGTTTGAAATAGTGAAATGCTTCACCATGAACTGTGAACATTGTTGTCCCCTATGTCATATGTCTGGTGATTTGTTTTCAGTGGGTCCAGATCTGGGGTCAGCAAACTTTTTCTGTAAAGAATTAGATAGGAAACATTTTAGGTGTTGTGGATCATACTGTCTCTGTTGCAACTACTCAACTTTGCTGTTGTATCGGAAAAGCAGCCACAGACAATAGGTAAATGAGTGGGTGTGGTTGTTTTCCAATGAAATTTGATTACAACAATAGGCCTCAGGCTGTCCTTTGCTGACCCTGCTTTAAGTCAACAGTTACCACCTCAAGATCAAGGCATGCATGCCTCAGTCAATGTGTTAGAAGTAATTTATTACCTATAATAATTAAGTTACAAACTTTAGAATCTTTATAAGAAAACTATATGAGAGAGAATTAGAGGTGAGCCTAGAACCACCTCATACAGTTATTTTGATGAATTTTCTTGAGTAGGAGAGCAAGGTGCAGAAAAGTAGCATAGGATAGTGGTTAAGACCACAAACTCAGGACTAAGGTCCCTGAGTTTGAATTTCAGCCATGCCACTTTTAATATGTTTCCTTGGACAAGTTACTTCACTGCCCTGTGCTTTGATTTCTTCATCTATAAAATGGGCATATTAATAAACTTCACATTTTCAGATTGTTTAATGATTAAAACCATGAGTACACAATAAGGGACTGGAATAATAATGGGTACACATTATATGCACAAGAGATGTTAGTCATTCCCCACATATCTAAATCTTTTGGATTTAGATCCAGGACATAGCTCTCAGCTTATTTTATCTGTGCTGTGAGTCACTGATGAATAATCCTTACTGTGCACCACTAATTAATAGTTGTGGTGACTACAAATTTTTATGTTGCTAATGGGTTGTAATTTTGTAGTTTCTTACATTAAAAAAAAATCTACCCATAAATGGATACTTAACAAGAAAGAAGCAGCAAAACTCAGTGTAGAAAATGTGAACATGCACGAACCAGTAATGCCCATGAGTGAAAATGACATGGGAGCATGTTGTTAGGGTACAACAGTTAAAATTACCAAAAGGTCAACAAAGCGATTATGTACTTGAACATTGGACATCATGTTCTTTATGTTCATATCACTGAATTCTGGAATTCTGAGCCTGCCTTTTTTTTTTTTAACAAATGAAATAAAATGTAGCTATGTTTATAGCATGCCTTTTCTTGTCCATCCTATTAATATTAACTGGTGGCATGGAAGTAAAGAAAAATGAAGACTCACTAAAATAAAAATATTCAATATTTTTTAAAAATCAGATTACCATGTAATTGATTTTTTGGTAACTGTTTTCAAAATGGTCTTTATATTGCTATATTAATTTATCAAATACTTGGAATGTGATTTTAGGGATTTCATGACTTTCTCCTTCAAAAGTTGGCCCTGCTATTTGCTTTATTTACCAAAAACATGGTGAGGTGTGGGGAGGGGTGTAGGGGGAAAGCAGTCAAAACCTGGGTCTAGGAGTGCATGTGACACGTTCATTTATCTTAAGTGTTAGATGCATAGCTGTCTCCTCCCTACAGGACTATTTTATCTCACTTTACAGAGCAGGTAATTGAGGCTTGAAAGGGTTGGATACTCACATGGCTAGTTATATGCTGAACTTGAATTCAAACACAGGCAGCCTGAAGGAGAGTCCTCCCTGTAACCACTGTGCTATAACACTGCATCCCATTTGAACAAAACAGTGGCAAAATGAACAGCTAAGATGAAAGCTGCTTAACTGTGCTACTGTTTAAAATATTCCCCATCACATCTATGGCAGAGCTTGTGGAAAGTGACATCTGAATCAAGCTTGTGCACGTGAAAAACAATTTTAAATTATGGATGTATGTGCTTGGAGACTTAATTTCTTAATTGGTAGCATTGTTAAGTTTTCTTTCCACTGCTAGTGGAAGAGAAAGGAAAAAAGAGAATCTGAGCTTTGAGATGAGGGCACATTATGCTCTTGGTGTGGGAGAAATCTGGCAAAATCAGTCAATGAAGGAACATATGGAGAGTTCAGTCATCACATGAGTATGTGGAAGGGTACAAGAAGTGAGGAGTGGAGGCAGGAGGGAGGGAAGCAAAGGTACATGACAAATTCTTAGTGGAATTTGTAGAAAAGTTATGGATCCTAGAAAAAGTTCAAGGAATTTGTCTTCCCTGATAGTTTCATTAAGCCCTGGTCATTGCAATGGTTCTCAACCTGGACTGCACCTTAGAATTTTGGGGAAAGCTTTATAAATATATCATTGCCTGAGCCCCAACCCCAGACAGTCTAATTAACTTGATCTATACCTGTGCTGTCCAATACAGTAGCCACTATCCACCTGTGGTAATTTAAATTTGAATCAATTAACATTAAATACAATCACCAATTCAATATTCAGTTTCTCTGGCCGTATCTCTAGTGCTCATTAGCCACGGGTGGCTAGTGGCCACCTTAGCAGTTAGTACTGTTAACAAAAATGTCCATTATTATAGAAAATGCTGTTGGACTGTGCTGTTCTTGGGGAGAGGGACATGGTCATACAAATTTTTGAAAACTACAGCAAGTAATTCTAACGTGCAATGAGCTTAGAGAACTGTTGATCCTTAGAGAATACATTTATTCTAAAATGTACCACCACTTATGTCTGAGGTAATTTTGCTTTGGAAGATGATTCTGAAAATATCATTAATGCTAGACTTTTTCTGCAGCCTAGAAATGTAGCTGCATGTATTTTTATTTAAAGCAGCTTGCTTGCTCATTTACTCTACAAGGTTTAGATGAGTTAACTACCAGACTGCAACTAAAAATGCATAACTTGCTTTGCCCCACTTAGAATGAAGTGGTACAACAGTTCGTGCTGATTTTGAATTACTTATTAAAAGAGTTTAATAAGATAAATTATCTTATAGGAAAACTGAGAGGCTCATTGTCCGCAGCTCACATTTTAGGCAACAGATTAGGAGCAACTGATTCTATATATTTGATGATATCCAAAATTAATTTATTAACTTAATATGTTTATGAAGTCTCATGCAATTTTGAGGAAATTATTTTCCTTTCTCATTAGAGAAGAACCCCACTGAGAAGAGACTTTTGCAAAGTGCCAAAGTGCAATTGATGAAACACAATGTCACCAAATATAGCATTGAAATGAGAAAGTGGAAAGGAATTCACTTTGGCATTTTTTATTTTGCCTAGCTTGTTTGACCTAAGAGTTTTCAAACTCCTAATATGATATTCATCTATCCTTAAGGCTTGTTTTATATCCTGCTGATTTGTAAATATCTGACTTGGGATTGGGTTCTTCAGTTTGAGGTGACAGTACTTCAGCATCCCTGTATCTTTTAGGTAATCTTGCTCTGAAATCCATTCCATGTTTAATGAGCAGTGAATATACCCATAACAGAATAAATAACCTGCCCTACAAAGAGTTCACATGACATCTCATCTATAATGAGTGCCCTCTTATCTGAGTTTCCTTCTTATTGCAAGAAATCTGAAGCATCCAACCTTGTAACTCAGTGTTCCTCACTACATGAGTAGAAAGAGCAGCTACAAAATACGTACCATTCTCTGCAGTGTGCTAGAACAAGCGATATCCAGATTTCTCCATGAGAATCAAGATAAAATGCTTTTCTCTAGGTCAACCCTCCTGGGCACCTAAAATGAGATGCAAATTTCACACTCTGTACTCAAAGGTATTTCTCCAGCTATAATCTTGGGCTTAATTTTCTGGGGATTCATATTTATTGGAAAAAGAGAGGAAATCTGATAAAGAAAGAATTCCTAGCGTCATCTTGTTTTATTGCTGCCTAGACTCACTTCTTACCAGTTCATTCCACACGTGGGGCCTCCCTTTACCAGTTACATTGTAGACTCAATGTTTGCTTCCTCTCTTTATCCCCTTCCTATCAGTTCTGCACCATTCGGCCTCATTCATCTTTCCTAAAACACCTCTTTCATGGTGTTACACCCCTACCCAAAACTGAGAGTGGCTAGTTCTACTTGTAAAGGATTTGGCATCCAGGAGGTTTTCTAACATGGCTGTTCCTTTTTCTTTAAATGAAATACCTGTCCCTCTCCTTACTCCTGGAGGTCATTGCCCCATCTGTTGGCTTTCTTTTCTCTGTTTCATCCTGGTGCCCTGTGTCTATTTCTGCATATTTCTGTGTCTCAATTCCACAGGGCTTTGAGCCCTGAACTGTCCTCCATGTTTTTACCAGAATTCTCCCAGTTGCAGAGAGGCCTTCCAGTCTCTGTTGGATGCTCTGTGTCATACTTACTTTGTATGTAGGTCTTCCAAGGGAGTGAATAAAGAAAACGTTGCTGGCATGCTGTGATATTGCCTACAAGTTAAAATTATTGCATTTGAAAACAGACTGCCTGGGTTTGAGTGCCAACTCCTTACTTCCCAGTTGTGTGACTTCTAGCAAGCTCTTTACGCTCCCTTTGTTTCAATTTTCTTGTCTGCAAAATGGGGATAATTCTAGTACCTGCTTCCTAGAGGATAGCGAGTATTCATGGAGACAATAAGCACTCAGTAAATTTTAGTTATTCTTTATTGTGGTTTTGACTGTTTCAGATTCATGGTCTTAAATAGCTTACCAGTTGCTAGATTTGCTTTGATGGTAGAGTTTAGATCTGAAGGATCCAAAACATTCTCTCCATGCAAATAGGTCACAGTAGCATCAGAAGGACGCTAGCAATTAGATGAAGGTCAGGGTGCTAGGAATGGGAAAAGGATGGACAGCCACAGTTAAGGAAGCGCAAATGGCAGCAATGAGAGAATATACTTTGGCTTATCACCTAGCCCCTGGAAGTTCTGAGCAATACAAGTATAGAGTCTGATGGTTAAACTGATGGCACCGCATTTTTCACTGAGCACTGTAAGGCAGCAGATGAACTAAAATGTCCCTCACAATTTGCATTTTTATATACAGTCTTAAGAAAATATTAAGACCTTACATGTGAACTCTATGCTACACACTCAAAAAAGGTTACCAGGACCAATGGAAGGTTTATCAGTAATGAATGTAATCTAAATGAAATTTCACTGTGCCATTAGATTCAGTCATGATTCTGACAGATAAATGATTATTTCTAACCATTGGCTATATATTATTGAAAATCTGAAGGATGTCATTAGAAATATATTTGTCTTACATTAAAGACTTTCTACATGCTCAGCAAAACAATGTATAAAGAGCAATTTTTACTTTACCATCCAGTTGATCAACTACTCTCTTTCCAAGTGAGAATGTAGGAAGGGAAGAAATGAGTCGTGATGTCATTCAGTGGGAAGTATAGGAGGAGTTTCAAGCGCAAGGGCTCCAGATCAGGCTGCTTAGATTTATTATCTGTATTCATATGGGAAATTCAGGAAAGTGAGGTTAGCTGCTACATCAGATACATCCCCAAATCTCACAACATAAGTCTATTTGTCATTCATACTGTTAGATTGGCCACAATTGGTGGGACAGCTGTGCTCCAAGCAATGATTCTGAACCTAGGCTGCTGCTTCCTTTCATTCAGCTGGAGGTAGGGTAGGCTGGATTTAGGTTGAGACATTGGGGCAACTAAACCTTTCACACTAGCTATGTCACCTCTCCACATGGTCTTTTCAACATAGTGGCTACACCTATGACGTGGGGGCTCAAGGGTCCTATGAATGCAAAAACAGAAGTTTCCATGCCTTCTTATGTCTCAGGCCCAGAATGGGCTTGGCATCCCCTTCTGCCACATCCAGTTGGTTAAAGTAAATCATAGAGCCAGGCAGGCTTGAAGGGCAGGGGACTACACTAGGCAAAGAACACTGAAAAATGTGATCCACTCCTGGGACTGCCACACATGGCTATGCAGGTTGCCTGGATGCTGTCTCCAGGTTTGTATGGACTGGGGCTAGAAATGAAGCTTGTCACTTCCTCTGACATTCCATTAGCTAGACTCCAGTCATATGACCACTATTAACTGCAAGAGAGGCTGGGAAATGTACACTAGCTGAATGTCCATGAAAAGGGGGCTATGGCCTTCATGAACAGTCAGTGTTTTCCTCTCTGTGTGCCATCCATTTCTGTGCCTCCATCACTTCCTCTATAAAATGAAATTGTTAGAGGCAGTGAATGCATGGCACACATAAAGTGCTTAGCACCTAATACATGCTCGGTAAACTTCTACTGTTATTATTCACTATTATGTAGTGGCTATTTGATTTTATTCCATCTAAGTAAATGCACACGGCAATGAATACCAGGCTAAGGAATTTGGACTTTGTCCTGGAGCTAATGAGGATACATCAAAGGGTTTTAGGCAAAAGAGTGCTATAATCAGAAATGTGTTCACTCAAAAAGTTTGACAGTGATTCTATGATATTTTTGCCTTAAATGTGCAAAATATCACCAGTGATATAAACAGAAATAATCCAGAATAAGAGCCAAGAAGAAGGTAGAATTAATGCTTAATGGCATAGATTCTGAGGCTGTAAATTGTTTCTTGGTATGCTTAGCTATGGAGGGTTAAATGGGAAAAAATGACTATTGTGCTCTCAGCTATTTTTGTGATTAGCAAAACTCTTCCACAGCTTGAACCTTTTAATTGCTTCCTGATATTTATTTCCAAGGCTCTTTCGGTGGCTATTTGGTCTCTTACTGGTTTTACTTAAAAAGTTTTTATTTAAATCTTAAAAAGGATTCCTTATCTTTATGTTTTGTTTTCCTGATTTGAATGCATTTTCCAAAGAATAACAAATATACACACCTTCTCCATTATTTCTGCATTTCCTCTCAAGGCCTACCTTGCTTCCACTCTTAAAACAGACTAGGAATTTCACAAGATGTTGTCTCTCGAGATTATTTGAGATTATTCACTTAAATAGTCACCTTCTTATGAAACATTTATTGACCTGACAGTGTATGTCTCCATCAAATAATTGATTTAACAGACCACTCTAGTCTTAGATAATTATTCTTATTTCATCACTGTCCCTTCCTTATTAGATACTTATAACATGGCTCCTATTAGTACTGACTCTGAACTGTGGCTTTGTCTTCCAGTTAATTTGTAAGCTCATAGTGGTTGGGATGACAACCGCATTACTTATGAGCTGTGAATCTTTGGGCAAGTTACTTAACTCCTCTGAGCTTCTGTTTCCTCATCTGTAATATGAGCATAATAATGTAGCCTACTGCTAAGAATTATTTTGAGGGTTGGATAAGTCAGTACCCATAAAATGCCTAAAACAATGCCTGACACTTAGTAAGTGCTCAGTCAGAACTACATGTTGCTGTCATCTATTCATAAACTAAAGGCTCATTTGCCTAATAATAAAAAATGAATTATATATTAATTTCATGTGAAATAATATATTAAGATGTTAGATATCTTTAAATGAGGATGTAACTTCCATTGATGAGTATCCAGTATGAGCCATATTGACTGTCTACTGGAATAATGTGTATTTTCAACCTCAGAGTTTTTGGGGTAGTGGTGGTGGAGGTATGTGCAGTAACAGGTAGATTTTACTCTGAATCTCTGTTTAAGTTTAATCATTCTAGTAAATAAAACCACCTGGAATATTTTACTGCTTTAAAATTCCTTCCGCAGCAGCAGCAGCAGCAGAGGCTATGTGTGGCTTACATGATTAGCTTCACAGAATCCTGGTAAAAGCATACCAAGTCCTTAATTTTGAATCAGTAAGATCTTCCATGAAATCATTTCCTGGTTTGTCAATTATAATCACAATGATTCTTTTGTTGGAATTCACTTGAGACCCATGAGAGAACTATAACTTCCTATTGACTGGGAAACAAATATGTCTTTTCGAGTTGTATTTGGTTCAGTGCCATGTGGAATACATGGAGATCAAGGTAATTCACGATTGGAATTAATCTTCCCTTTTCCCTGTGCTCTTCATGGATGCCACCCCCAACCCCCACCCTAAGCTGAACCCTCTTAGATATGGCCATGTGGGCATATTCACTCTGACCTCCACACCCTCGGTTCAGGAAATGAATAACTTCTCAAGGACTGCTGTCCCACAAAGAGGATAAAATACAGAGCATGTGTTATGCTTCGGTGTAAAAGAGAATGAAAACTTTTTCTTTTTAATGTGTGTGGCTAGTGTTAGAAAAATGGAGTCAGTAGTTTTAAAACATAATTTAAGAACTGAGAATTTGTCCTAAACAAAGAATGCATCCTATGTGCTTTATCTTGCTCTCAGGGGTTTCACTAGTGGCTTCCAACATTCTTTGGTTGATTCCTAATAAGGACAGTTTGCACAGTTACAATTCAATTACCATTTGTAGATGCCTGTGGAAAAGAGGATTTTTTTAGAGCAATCCTTTTCTAACTCGAGTATATTTCTTCAAAATGGTCTTATTAAAATAAGAAACAGGAAATCCAGTTTCAATTTCATATTCTTTTTGTCCCTTCCCTCCCCTCTTTCCTCCTCCCCAACTCTCTCTCTCTCTCTCTCTCTCACTCTCACACACACACACACACACACACACACACACACAAACGCACTCACTCATTTGTGCACTTACTCAGGGACACAGCCTGTCTTCGTTCTGAAAGGACAGGAACTTCTCAATGATCCGATGAAAAGACTGCATATTTTTGGTCCCAAGATTCACAGTAGCGGAGGTCTTTGGCAACAAAAGGTATCGTGGGAGTCACAGCTATGCCAGCTAGGCCATTTCTCAGACATTCGATATGATCTGCCATTTCAGGATGCATTTTTTACCAAAAAAATAATTTTTTAAAAACAGACTCAACTTCCTACTCCAAGCTTAGTTCAGTTAGATTAGGGAGGACAGCAAAGACGTAGCTGATTATAATTTATGGGTAAGCAATATAAATATCTACATTTACACTTCTTTTTCAGAAAACAATTGTAATAAAATTTTGTGATTCTTTCACATCCATCTTGTGATTTAGGAAGAAAACTGGATTGATCAGTGTCTGAGATGTGTGACAGCTAAAAACTGTCTGTGTCGATATGGATTTATGAGAACCTTATTTTTAGATTAATGATGTTGTGGCAGCTTGAAATGAGCAAACTCAAGCAGAAAGGATTGTGTTGTGATTAACAGAACAGCATAATTGGGCTGATTTCTGTAAAAGATTCTGGCACAGGCTATTTTGAAGTCTGAAAGGGTGGTTTTCTTTCCCTCTTAGCTTCTTGAATATGGGTGCAACATTTTAGTTGCTGTGGCTGTGATAAATATGGGTTTGGGGGAACAGTTTGGATATTATATAAGGCTAATAATAAATCTGATGTGCTTGTACTGTCTTTTACAAAAGAGGAAACTTTAAGCCTCTGAATTTTTAAACACTGTCTGGCTTTCATTATTATAAGGGTATGTCTCATAATGAAAGGGCTTGGTGGTGGAAAGAGGGGAACATGACCCTGATGTCCCAGATCCCATTATGCCACTGCAGCTGCTTTGCTCATTTGTAAAGTTAGAGGTTTGAATTGATTTATCATGAAATGTTATGAAATACATATAGTGGTTATGAGTCTAAATTCCAGAACCTAAAGCCTGGCTTCAAATCCTAACTCTGCCACTTAATTGGTGTGTGCTCTTGGCAAGTTGCTTAAGTTCTGTGCCTCAGTTTCTTCATCTGAAATATGGGAATAATTATGGTAACATAGTCCTTAGGTTGTTGTAAGAATTAAATGAGATAATATAAATAAAAGGCCTAGAACAGTAACTAGCAGAGAGTGGACCATCTATAAATGTGAGCAGCATCTTCAAGGTCTAAGCTATCTCTGGAGGTCGTTCTAATTTCAGTGAACTAAATTTAATTAGAGAAAGACAAGTAGAACCATTAGCTGCTGGCCCTGTCATTGAGAAGTTTCAAATTCATGCCAGTGTTTCCACTTTCTGCAACCCTGAGATTTGTGCAGGCTGTCTTACCTTCCTCCCATCCAAGACTCAAGAGAGCTTAGAACTAAGAATTAAATTGATGGCCAATTAGAAAAGTCCACAATTCAACTGGGACTACACAGAAATGAAATTGACCTTTTGCTCTGACGTTTTTGCCCTTGAGGATTTCCAGTATGTCCCCTCTATGCTAACCATTGGAAAGGTTCTTTCCACTGGAAACAAGATGTAAGTGACATTTGTTTTTTTAGATGGTGTTAGCCCAGCCCTGGGTTTGACAATGTTCATTTCTACTTCTTTAGTTTATCAGTAACCCAGGTGAACAGGTCATTTGCAGATAACCACTTCTATTTCATGCTAGCATTTGCATATTTTAAAATATGCTAAATCATTGTTATGTTGTGTGATTTTTTTTTTTTTTTTTTACAGGCTCTCTGGGATGTTTCTCAGAGACAAAATCTTAGGAGAGGAGGAAAATGGTGATGGCAAAAGGCAGATCCTAATCATAGATGTGCCTTTACTTTTAGTCCAGTCCAGGGGTCAGCAAACTTTTTCCATAAAGGGCCAGATGGTTAATGGCCCTTTGCGGAAGGGCAGCTTCGTGGACTGTGCATTCTCTGTTGCAACAACTCAACTCTGCAATTGTGGCCTGTAGGCTGCCATAGACAATGAATGAGTGTGGCTGTAGTTTTCATAAATCAATAAAACTTGATTTATGAAAACAATAAGTAGGCAGTCCTTGGCTCCTGGGCTAGTCAGCTTGTATCAGCAAAATCCCTATCATCATCCCCGTTTCATAGATGAGGAAATTGGGGCATGGGGAGTGTAAGTAGCTTGCTAAAAAGCCACATGGCTGGCTAGTAAGTGGTAAAACTGGGACTCAAACTCAGGCAGCCCAGCTTGCCACCCCTTGCTTTTAGCCACCATGCTATGCTATACCTATGTCAACCAGTCTCTGCCTGGGCTACTGGGCTTCCGAAACCCGCCTGGCTCATTCCCTCACCTCCTTAAGGGTTGGTGCAAAAATCATGTTCTCTGTAAGGCTTTCCTGGTAGCTCATGCAGCACTCCTATTCCCCTCACCCTGCGCTACCTCCTTCTCTACCTCTTATCACCTTGTAAAACTTGCTGTGTAATTCAGCACACATTTCTTAAGAGTTTTTGGTGTCTCTAAAATTCCAAGTTAAGATGCTGTGCTAGGTCCTTCTTGTATCACCATAAAAATACCTGAGACTGGGTAATTTATAAAGAAAGGAAAAGAGGTTTAATTGGTTCACAGTTCTGCAGGCTGTACAGGAAGCATGGTGGTGTCATCTGCTCAGCTTCTAATAATGGCCTCAGGTAACTTTTACTCAGGATGGAAGGCAACAGGGAGGCAGCCTGTCACATGGTAAGAGCAGAAGCAAGAGAGAGAGGGAAGAAGTGCCATGCTCTTTTAAACAACCATATCTCACATGAACTCGGAGCAAGAATTCACTATTGCAAGGACAGCACCAAGACATTCATGAGGGATCCACCCTCATGACCCAAACACCTCCCACCAGGCCCCACCTCCAACATTAGTGATTATATTTCAACATGAGATTTGGAGGGGACAAACATCCTAACCACATCAGAAGGGGATGCAAATTTAGAGTGGTGATGATTAATATTAATTATAACTTAAATTTCCATTTATTCAGGTCTTGTGGGAGATTATAAGCCTTCCACAAGAAATTCATTTGTATTGTCTGATATTATCCCTACAAACTGAATGTTAAGTCTTGTTTTTTCTCCATCTTATTAATGAGAAAACCGATGATCAGAGATTTTCTGAATCTTACCAAAGAGCTGCCTTCTATTTGAATCCAAGTCTTCACCACCATACCAGTGAGACTCAACCTTTATTATGCAAAAAGTAAGACTCATCTGGGGATGCTGCTTTATAATGGAGGTGCTTGGGACCTATTCCTTGTGACTCTAATTCTCTAAATCTACCTTACAGCCCAAGGAGCCTACATGTTTAACAATGATCATCTGCCCAGGTGTTTCTGATGCCTTGGGTCCACAAACGACATTTTGAACAGCCCTGCCTCACCCCTTGTTTGGCCTTGGGGAGTTTACAGTTGGATGAGATTAAAGAGATGCTGCAATTAGAGACTAGCCCCAAGGATGTAAGAAAACAATGTGGTGTAGAACAAAACCAAAATTATTTCAATTTTATTTCATGGGAAAATCAAGTCTGTTTGTAAAAATGCAACTTAGCTCAAAAGAATGACTTTCTGAATAAAGCATAGATATTGTATTGCTTGGGTTTTAGTTTGTCTTTTGCTTCTTTTTTTCTAAACATAGAGACATATACTTCTGGTGGGAAGGAAATCTCTTTAGTTAACACTTTTGGTGGGTTGTTCTCCAGTTAATCAAGACTCTATTGTTTTCAAACTTTTTTTGGTTTGCTTCTTTTAATTAGGTTTGTAGCATTTGTGCCTCTTAAAACTAGCTTAAAATAAGCCCTATGATTTTGTTTATGTGTACAATATGTAGAAAAATACATATAAAATACACATAGTAATGCATGATATATATATGAATATATAGTGCATATTTTTATGATAAAATATATAAATAATTGTTAATATTTCCCAGCACCATCATTTTATGGAGATGCTATGTAATTTGGGCTTAACAGCAGACTTATTTATACTAAACCAAGGTTTCTCAACCTCTGCACTATAGACATTTTGATCCAGATAGTTTTTGATTTTGGGCAGTAGTCCTGTGCATTACAAGGTGCTTAGCAGCATCCCTAGCCTCTGTCTTCTAGCTGCCACTATCAAACACTGCCCCAGTTATAACAACCAAAAATGTCTCCAGACATTGCTAAATGCTCACTGGGGGCAACATTACCCCACCAAGGACCATTATCCTATATCGTTTTGTCATATTGCTGCCCTTTATTAATGCTGTCACATAGTACACTAGAATAGAAAGATATTTTTACAACTGCCAAGGTCTTTAGTCTATCCAGAGACATTGGGTGAATTTCAATTTCATCTACATTTATAAAATCTAAACAAATTTGAAATCATGTACCCCATAAATATATAAACCTACTATGAACCACAGAAATTTAAAAAGTAAAAATAAGGAAACAAAAAATACGGAGATTGTCTTGGTCAACTGGGTCTGCCATAATAAAATAACCTCAGATCTCTCTTTTGGTTAACAATTCCAAATATACCAAAGAAGTTTAAAAATCCAAGAAGTTAAGAACCATGGGCTGCAATATATAAGGAACTAAAGTAAACTTGAAGCATCCCACCTCACTTTTTATTATGCTAAGTGTAGTCATTTGTAAACAGTTTGAAAAAAACATATATATATATATTTTTTTAATTTATTTATTATTATTATACTTTAAGTTGTAGGGTACATGTGCATAACGTGCAGGTTTGTTACATATGTATACTTGTGCCATGTTGGTGTGCTGCACCCATCAACTCGTCATTTACATCAGGTATAACTCCCAATGCAATCCCTCCCCCCTCTCCCCTCCCCATGATAGGCCCCGGTGTGTGATGTTCCCCTTCCCGAGTCCAAGTGATCTCATTGTTCAGTTCCCACCTATGAGTGAGAACATGCGGTGTTTGGTTTTCTGTTCTTGTGATAGTTTGCTAAGAATGATGGTTTCCAGCTGCATCCATGTCCCTACAAAGGACACAAACTCATCCTTTTTATGGCTGCATAGTATTCCATGGTGTATATGTGCCACATTTTCTTAATCCAATCTGTCACTGATGGACATTTGGGTTGATTCCAAGTCTTTGCTATTGTGAATAGTGCTGCAATAAACATACGTGTGCATGTGTCTTTATAGCAGCATAATTTATAATCCTTTGGGTATATACCCAGTAATGGGATGGCTGGGTCATATGGTACATCAAGTTCTAGATCCTTGAGGAATCGCCATACTGTTTTCCATAATGGTTGAACTAGTTTACAATCCCACCAACAGTGTAAAAGTGTTCCTATTTCTCCACATCCTCTCCAGCACCTGTTGTTTCCTGACTTTTTAATGATCGCCATTCTAACTGGTGTGAGATGGTATCTCATTGTGGTTTTGATTTGCATTTCTCTGATGGCCAGTGATGATGAGCATTTTTTCATGTGTCTGTTGGCTGTATGAATGTCTTCTTTTGAGAAATGTCTGTTCATATCCTTTGCCCACTTTTTGATGGGGTTGTTTGTTTTTTTCTTGTAAATTTGTTTGAGTTCTTTGTAGGTTCTGAATATTAGCCCTTTGTCAGATGAGTAGATTGCAAAACTTTTCTCCCATTCTGTAGGTTGCCTGTTCACTCTGATGGTAGTTTCTTTTGCTGTGCAGAAGCTCTTTAGTTTAATGAGATCCCATTTGTCAATTTTGGCTTTTGCTGCCGTTGCTTTTGGTGTTTTAGACATGAAGTCTTTGCCCATGCCTATGTCCTGAATGGTACTACCTAGGTTTTCCTCTAGGATTTTTATGGTATTAGGTCTAACATTTAAGTCTCTAATCCATCTTGAATTAATTTTCGTATAAGGAGTAAGGAAAGGATCCAGTTTCAGCTTTCTACTTATGGCTAGCCAATTTTCCCAGCACCATTTATTAAATAGGGAATCCTTTCC